TTCCTTTCTGGCTTCACTCCATTGTTGCTTTAGTCAACCAGGATCTCTTTCTCCTTTTCTCCCTTATTTTGTCTAATATGGAGAAAACATTTAGGTTTTTCCAGACACTTTCGCTTCTTATTTGGTCTAGAACTGCTCTTAGAAATCTCATTTCAGAAGCTAGAATTTCACTGCTTTTCTTTCTCATCAGAAACCATGACTCGCTCTCATACAGCAAAACTGGTTCTGCCATCACTTTGTACAATGTTAGTTGTGTCTCTTATTTTATTCAAGAGTATCTGTCTTATTTTGCTGCACTTTTGTTAAAACTGATAGTTTGATATCCATATCTTTCTCATAATCTTAGCTCAAGTCTCAACCAAGTTAGTTAAAATGTCTTACTTGTTCCAACATTGAATTGTAAATACATATTTTTTATCTGAAAGAGAATTTGTCTTGGAAAGCCATTACTTTACATTTTTTAACACATATTTTGAGGTTGTAATCTTCTGATTTGTTACTCAATACACAAGCATGTTATCTTGTATTAATCAGAATGTTAATTGTTATTTACTAATTTTTTATTAGAGACAGATAATCAGTGTTTGTTGTTTTTATTTCTTCTAGAAGAGTACATTGTATTTGTGCCTTTCTTCCTATTTTAAGATGGAACACCATAGTGCTTGGTGTCTGGGTTCTCTAGCAAAATGGGGCTGTGCGGAGGAGAATTCTAAATCGAGTTAAATGATTCAGGTGCTGGAGCCCACCAAGATAAGTTGAGTGATCCTGGCATGCAGAGTGATGCTGCTGCTGTGTTTGCACTCAACAGCAAAAACATCCTTAATGGGAGACTTCCTCAGAATGGACATCATCCAGGAAACAAAATAAACATCACCACAAACCCTTTGGCAGACTCAGATGAAGATAAAGTAAGTTAGAAGGCCGTATTATGAGAGTATAATTTTTTTAAATTTAATGTAAAGATAAGAGTCAAAAGTTGCTTTTATAACCATATTATTCTTTGTGTAGTATGCTTCATATTTTCTGGCTTTTGCATGAGTTGAGAGTCTAAGTTGATAATTTTGTTGGTACTGTATTTTCAAAACTCAAAATATTGCATTTCAATTTTGCCTACAATTTTAGAAGTAGATAATGTTATTAATTCATTTTTTAAATTAGTAATCTTCTATAAAATAAAATTCATTCAATAAAAATTACAGAGAATATTATTAATATTAGCAATTGGTACTTTTATTTTGATTTTATTCTCAACTTCTGTTTTTAGAGTAAAACTAATTTATAAAATAATTATTTTAAACAGTACCAAACAATAAAACAAACTATATAGCTTATGTTATTCTATGTTTTCATTTCCAATTCTCAATTTGAAATATTTTGCTTTTATATAGAAGCATTTGCTTTTATAATGTATGTATACTTTTCAATACCTTCCCCTTCTTTCCTATTGTTCAATTCTTGAACCTCTCTGGCCCCTTACAATTATGGAGGGGATCAAAGGAAGTGATTTAAATGCTGCTAGGCAAAAATTGAGTTTTATTCACTAAAATTTTTTTATTCAATTATTTAAGTTATTACAAGAACCATGCAATAAAATAAAAATTATGAAATGATGTTGCAGATTTGTGTGAATTCTATTATATGCTCTGACAACAAACTTAGAAAACTGTTCAACCTGAAAAAATAATGTAAATCATACGTACACAAAAGCAATATTGAATTATCTTCACATGTATCAGTATTATTAATGCTGTTCGGACCAAAGATTTCCCTGTGATCACCACTGGCTGTTCACTCATACATGTTGAGAAGGTTCAGTAAATCTTGGTACATGATGCAGATGATAATATTACTCAATTGGTGTGGTCAAGTTGTTTCTTTAAGAATGTTTTTAGTCATGGAAGAGCTAACGTTCTAATATTGACACCATTGTCTGCCCCCAAAGCACACTGCTGGGCAGATTTATTCTAGTTAAGTTGATACAGTATTCACAATATGAGGCAGAAATGAAATGAAATTTAAACTCCTTGATGCTCTTGAAAATAGGAAGGGGTCTTCTCCTCCCCTTCCCAACGAAACCGTTGGTCCAATTTCCACAAAGTGGATAACCCCACACCTCTCACCAATAGTGTGAATTTATTTCCTGAATCACCCCTTTCAACAAATGCACCTGTTACAGAACCAGAATGTAGTTGAGATGTCAAGTCAAAATAACAACCAGTCGTCAAGCTCTGGTAGTGGTAGTGGTAGTGGTAGTGGCAGTGGTGCTGGACGGAGTTCGACTGCAAGCGACGCAGAAGTGGACTCTCATGTGGACGGTGATATGCCTCCAGCGGAGGTGAGGAATTGGCGAGGACCATCCTCTGCTGGAACTGCAAGTGAAAAGTATGTGTGATGTCTGCAACAGCTTTGTGCTTTTGTAGGCATGTTTAATACGCTTGGAAATTTCATTGAACCAGTAACAATCGTGTACCTGCTTTGGTTATGAAGAGAATTATGCATACTCAATAATTTGAGTATTATCCTGTAGTGAGTTGAATCTTACACAAAAGACTCTCAGATGAGCTTGTGAGTGCATAAGATTGGAACAATCGTAACTGATACCTTGCCAATATGAAAGTCTTCTTTCATTGAATGAATAATTTGAGCTTTTCAGATCTACTGACTAATTTAGATACTGTGAGTTTTTATTTACTTATGAAGACAAGTCTCTTTTTGTTCTTACTCTTGTTATGTGAATGGTGCTCTTCTTTTTCTTTCTTCAGGAAAATTCATAAATGTGGCATATGGGAATGACGTGTTGATATTTGCTGTATATGCAGCAAATATATCTTTTGTAAGGGTCCACATAGTTAAAGTAACTGTGTACAATGAAGAAAATTGCTGCTAAGATTCACAGTAAAAGTTTATCTTTAAATAAGTATTATAAAACTGTATGAATTGCCATCTTAATAACAGCGAGTTGTCTCCCAGTGGAGTCATGAAGATTGAAATTTCCATTTTATTTAAAAAGCAATTAAATAAAATGCAAGTCTTAAAGGATTTGAGAAATAAGTATCTCAACTATGTGTTCATTATGTCGCATGACACTCTTTCTAGTATGCTTTAATGATATACAAATCTTGTCCACTAGGTTTATAAGGAATATAAATTATGTGTGGATAGAGAAGATATAACATTGTCAAACTGTCAGCTGAATGATGACTTATTCAGTATCCTCCTCAGAATGCAATTAATATGACAATATATTTCTTTATTTCTTCTTTCAAGAAGTTTTAAAACTATTGGAATTTGTATATGCATATTCTAATAGTGTTATTTTCTCAACAGCATTACTTATGACTCCTAACACTTAGGGTATTAGAATCCTTTATAATAAGTCTAAGCTGAAACACAACAGGAATTTAGTCATTTTATTTTACTCTAAATATTTTAATATCACAGCTGTGTACAGATATTTTTTAGCTTTTTGTATGTGTTATTTATGATCACAATTGTCTCTGTTCCTATGAGGAAGTGAAGATAGAAGTAGATCTATGAATCTACTTCTTATTCAGCAGGATTTTCTACAATGTTTTTACTCAATAAGAAATGTGGTAGACACTAGGCAACTTTAAAAATATTTATATATTTTAAATACAAAAATATTTTTGAAACCTTGTCTGGAATTGCTATGGCTAAAAACTCATGAGTTCTGTTGTTTCGCAATTAGTATGTCCTTCAGAATTTCTTGAACAGTACTCGGAAATGGTTTTCAAATTGACAAATGACAACTTCATCACACATTTTTAAAGATGTTACACCATTAATTTCATTAAATATTTTTGTACACTGTCAGACTATCTATTTTTAATGACATAAAAGACAATCAATTAATATTAAATGCAATTTATTGCAAACATTAAGGTAAGGATGAGACGCACAAAAGTTACTCATTTGACATTAACCATACAAATAAATGTAATATTTAAGATGTGATTGGGAGAAGAAAAATCTCTCATCTAAAGGGTTCATGATAACCTAGTTTGAGTATTAATAAAAATAATGCAGACAAGTAATATTTTACTTTAAATATACATCAAGAATTTTGGATAAATTGAGAAATGTTTAATAACCAGAAAATGAGATATTACTACTAGATAACTGGGAAATTAAGCTTGGAAGAAAAATTATTTCAATCATTATTGAGGTATATTTCAGTTTTTATGGATGACCAAACTAGTTGTTTTTATCAATAAGTAATTATTTTGCTATTGATTTATTAGATCTTTTTTTGTCATTCTGTTCAATTTAATTTTCTTATTAGATATGAAATTTATGTTTTAAAACACTGGAATTTAAAACAGTATTTTTCAGATAATTCTGGTAAATAATTTGTCACTTCTTTGCATCTTTGCATGCAAATTTGATGCATCTTTGATGTCAGGTGCACCCCGAGAAAACAAGGGGCCTGGGGCAGTAAATCTATGGGACTCCCTTATTTCCAACAAAAGTTCCCCTAATTTATTTATATTAATCATTAATATATTTTCAAGTGAATCATTTTTCAGCTACAGTTAATATTTTTTTCCTTTTCAAAAAATGCATGGAAGGAAATACATTTTGTATAAATTTTCAGGGCTCGGTTAAGTGAGGGGCTGGAGCAAGTTGCTCTGGACACCCCTGTTTGTCGTTGTTGGTTAATACATTATTTTCTTGTAGTAGTTAGAACCACAAAGTTCCAATTAGGTATGGAGATTTGCAAGGTTCTTGATAGTGCCTTTGATCTCAGGTTGTTATAAAAAACTGTCAATTTTGGCTTATAAATATTTTTCTTCTTTCTGGACTCACATACTGTGTTGCTCATTTTCTAGTAACTGACATTCCCAATTTACCAACTTGAACTGTGGTTCAGATATCAGTTAGCATCATCCCAGATTTAGAATCATCTTTTAATGGAATATTTTATTGCTTTCAGTTGTTTAATTAAGAGTTATAAATAACATATGAATGTATTTAAATTAAATGTATTTTTTTTTTCTTCTTAACTTCCTATTTGCATATTGGAAGGTTAAAAAACTGAAGGAATACATGTGAGAAACTGATACAGCACGTTGACTGCCTGCAATGAGTTGTCATATGGTATATATTTTTGAACTTTCATTTGTGCTGTGTATATGTTTTTCATAAAATATATGCAAAATTATATTACATTTTTATAAAGAGTACAAATAGAGTTGGTTTTATCAATATATAAACTCTTGAAATTGTGCAGTTGTGACTATACATGAAGCTTTTTCTGAATAATCATATGATAGCGGTAACTACTATCTGTGCATATTATCTTAGTCATTTTATTAGATGTACAAGGAGTGGGTGATTAAATTATGTAATCTGCGTTACCATCACATTACATCTATTGCTCTTTTGCCAAAGGAAATAGTTTCTATTACATGCAGGGAAAAGTCTTTTGATATTTAATGTCAAAAGTGCTTATTGCTATTTGAACTTCAATTACTACAATTCTTTATTTATGATCCAACCACTGTGTATATGGTAGACAAGGGTGAGGAATTCCAAAGCTCAGAAAATCCGTTCGTTGGCACAACTGTTCACACAAGTTCAGCAATTTCTTTCATTTACAGTTGTTATTAAGTATGACAGGCAAAGTTTACAAATATAATCTGTTAGTATCAATTTTTGAAATAAAAATTTATGTTGGCAGTCAGCATGCTAAAGAAGTTGCCTCAGCAGTGTACGAATTAAATGTAGTTCTTGCAATTGATAAGGTATTTCATTACCCTTTTTTTATGTTACTAATGTTTTTTATAGAATTTTTACAGAATATAATTTTTGTAGATAGTACAGATATAATGAAATAGAGTAACAAATTATGCAATAATAAGTATTAGAATAATTGCTGAAATAAACTGCTTGCTAGTTTCATGTGAATATATTAGTACTTCAAGTTGTTGAGAGTTGCTTACAAGGATGGAAAATAATGAAATATCTCACATTGATAATTATACAGCGATATAAGATCACATTATTTCAAAATTTAAACCAAAATGTCTCAGAGTTGAATTTTACCTCTTCAAACACATTTTGAAAGTCAATAAATCTCTCTGGAAAATTATATAATTATTTTTCATTTGGTATTCAGAAGACTTTGGCTCAAAACTAGTGGAGCCAATCTTTCACAATTACGAATCATAATTGAAGATAAAATATCATAATCTATTACAGAAAAATGATTAAAAATTCTTGAGTAGGTTAATAAAATCAGTAAAGTACGAATTCAGGTTCAAATCTCACAAATTTCACATGGCATTGGACACAAACCTACCTATTGTTTGTTAAAATAAGCTATCATACATACTTTTGCTCTAATTAAGAACAGACGTCAGTAATTTTATATAAAATTGTTAATTTTATTTATTTTGTAAAATTAACATTTATTTGTTGAAGAACATTAATAATTTAATTGATTTCATCCTGTGCAAAAGAAGAGGATGGATAAATTCCACTCTTGCAAGGCTGGATATTACATCGATAACATGATATTTTTTAAAAAAAAATAATCATTTGGATTCATGTTAGAAAGGATCTTGGATATTGCTACAATTTTTTTACTGATAGACTTAAGTTAATGCTCCAACGTTTATTATTCATTTAATTTTACTCTCTCTTTCACACATTTTTTAAAAGTCTTATTAATTTTCGTTGATTGGGTATGAGGCATGGTCTGAGTTCAAAATTTGACTTGCTTGTTTATTGCAATATCTCTAATAATACCTGAAGTACTAAGTTAGGTAAGGTAATTAGTCATTAAAAGTTATCTGATAAGATCTGATGAACAAGATCTTCTGAACTGTCCTGCTGAATTGACAATACAATGGTTGTGCCTTAACTTATAATAGACTTACAAAATATGTAGACTGTTACTATAAGTATAGAAAGTTTTAATATGGTATTATATTATGAATTTTCATACTGACTGTAGATACTGGATAGGAAAGTTCCAATTGTAAATTGTTTATGGAGGTTATTATCTCATGTGCAATTGTTCTATATAATGTAGTGGAATGAATGGTGTGACTTGTATGATGCAAATAATGGCCTTTTATTATATGAAAATATCTTTAAGATTTAATTTGATTTGGCTGGAAACAATTGTAAAAATTATAGACATAGATTTCTTATTTGAATCACAACAAATTGTTTGTGGTACTTTCATTGTTTTCAGTTATTGCTCTCTGCGTTTGCTTTGGCAGCTATTTATTTATCATTCTCAAATCTGGTTCAAAATAATAAAGCAAAAAGTTTGTTGTAATTATTGAATTTATCCTAGGAGGTTGAATGATTGTTATATATTCATAATAAGTATTGTGATCATTAGTGGCTTTCTTATCACACTCTTTCTTTAACAAATTGTTTCTTAGTTAAACTGACAGCTATGCCATTTGGCCTTGTGGTATTAAGGCCTCAATGAATATAATTATGGAGAATTTTCTTTTCTGCCAGGTTTGTAAAACTGCAAGAAGAAAATTCTTTTGCAAATACAAAAGAGAAAGCTCTTGCCATAGAATTAGATACGTAGTACTATAACCATCACAACGAATCTTTTAATTCACTTTGCCTTTCTTCAAAAATAATTATACTTCACTATATTAAGAGCTCCTGTATCATAACTTTTTGAAAGAGAAAAAGAATACACGAAATTCTGAAAGTCTGCTTTCTGAGCTTTATTTATTATAATGTGAAGACATTTTTTTGTAACAGTTTTTCTATGCATCTCTTGCCAGAATTGACTTATTCAAGCTGCATTTCCAGTATTACTTTGAAAATTTAAAACCTAATTAACAACTTTCTTTTCTTCACAATTTCAGGAAAGGTCCACAATTTTCCCACAATTATGAGTGTTTGTACTTTTTTATGTTCTTTAAAAAATGCAGCAAGAAGTTCTGGCATGGTTGAATAATGTGAGCTAGAAGTAGAAATGTGTATGAATAACAGTATTTTGTTGTTCATGCATGTATGTATGTATTTAACTTGCAACATTCCTTTTTACTTGACATGTGGTGCCTTTCTGCATGTTATTCACAAATGCAGAGTAGTGTCAAGTATTAGTTTTGTACATTTTAACATTGTAGTGTAACAATGAAACTAATGAGAAAATAAATTTTATATAAACAATCAATTTTGCATTCTATTTCTCCTGTTGTCCATTATGAATTCAAAGTGCACAGGGGCTCACAGAATAGAACTTGCACCTTTAATGATACATGAATTCTTCTCATTTCAATATTCCTAGAAATAAAATATGTAATTTTGATAATTGAGGTTTCCTGGAAGGACTAATGCAATTTGAATGCAGAAAAATGCTTTATTAGGTTAAAATTAAATATTTTGTGTTACCAACAAATAAGCATTGCACTGAAATGAACGTGCACCATCAGAAGCGTGCTTTGAAACATACCCTTAGAAATGTTTTCCTGGGCACAAAGTAGTGACAATCAGATTAGACAATGGTCAGATTTCTGGAGAGCAATATTGAATTGAAAATTGCCCTGAAAAAGGAAACTACTGTGGAAGAATGAAGACTTATTGTGAATTTAACCATGAGGGGAATATAACAACTGCAATTAAACCATCAGTCTTACACAACTATCACAGCCCTACTGGGAATTTGAAAATCTTTTTAAAAAATTTGGAAGTTATTCTAACAAAACTTAAAAAACGCAGACAGAATAAAATTATTCTTTGCGGTGATTACAATATAAATTGCCTCACATAATCCAGCTACAAAAATCTATTTAAAGACTTACTTAAGTCATACAATCTACAAACAACCATAAATACACCCACCTGAATATCCAAAAATAGTAGCACTGCTATAGATCAAATAATAATAGAAGCAAGCAAATAATCAATGTTTTTCTGTTTGCTACATTTAATACAAGTTTCAGTGACCACTCTGCCCAGTTTCTAACACCAAACAAAAACAAAAATTGCAGAACAGACAACTTACAGAGAAATCCGTAACTATTCTCAAGGAAACATTATAAAATTTCAAAACTTACTCATATTCAAATACTGGAATGAAGTACATAAGGTACTGATACAAGTGATTAGTTTAATTCATTCATAAATATATATAAAGTAAATTGAAAACTTTCCAGCTTAACAAAATGTTCTACAGTGTGAAGGAATATTCAAATTACAACAATACTTCCCTTAAAACAATATAAATAAATAAAAATTCTTATCCCTCTTGACTTTGTTCCATGTTGACTAGTTTTGAGCTGAAACAAAGAAAAAAGAACTGGCATATTGTGTCCTGTGACGTAGAAGGAGAATGCCTGACAAAAATTTCTGTTTCTCTCTAGATGCATTAGGTGCTGCAGTAGGACTAGGTGTACAAATAGAAAAAAAAATGCCTCCTTCCACTATTTCAAGATTTAAATATAGAATGTACCAACTTTGTTAAATTATATGTAGTTGCTACCATAATTGATACCATGTTCTATTTTAATAATAATAATAATAATAATAATAATAATAATAATAATAATAATAATAATAATAAATAAGTTATTATATTATTAACCAGGTTTTACGAAGATAGTGGGAAGACCTCATTCAGCTTCAGACAAATTCAAGTACGACGGCAGAATATAGTGTAATAAGGAGCAGAGGCCGCAAACTGGTTAACCACAAATGAGATAAAAGAAAGATTGTCAGTCACATCGGTGGGAGTCAAAAGACGCCTAAATTTCGTCTAAATGACTCCGTGTGTGGTTTCAATAGCAGCTACGCCACTGCACGGAGGAGTAGAGGTCGGTGGCCGTCGCAGCTCCGCGGAGAGGAAATAAAGCAAAGTGACCACTTTCTGGAAGAGGGAAAGCCGAGGGAAATCAGAAAATTTTTTTGCTCAGAAAAAGTCAAGAAAAATTATGGAAATTGTGAAAGAATTGTTAGAAGATGGGGAAATTTTTGAGATGGTTATACAAGTAGAGATTATTGCTAAAATAATAGTACAGCATTATTTTCTGCTCGATGTCTGTTGATTTTGATTTTTAATTTATACTCATAATCACGGAGTCAAATCAGAGAGTTGACAAATTAATCTAAAGGTTGTTTAATATTTTCTTTAAATAGTGTGAAATACTCATCAAATCTTATCAGTGAAATTATTTTAAATGCTTTGGAAAACTGGGAGAAGTCAGGGAAATTTGTTTCAGGAAATGAATGGCCACTTTGCAAGAACGGAGAGCGTGTCTACGGCTATCTCACAGGAGACACCAGCGCTAGAAAAAGAGGCGAAATTAGTTGGTTATGAGTAGGGAACGGATTTTGATGAAATGCCATTTTTTTCACTTTAGAACGATGCCTTTTAGTATAGAATTACATTTTTTTGTATTCTAGCATTATAAAAGAACCTTTTCTGTTGCAAGAAACGTTCTAATTGGGCATTTTACGGCACAAATGATGACGTATTAGATTTTATGTCACGAATGATTTCTCATCACACATTCAGCCAATCGTAGCAAGAGAATCGGAGAAGGTAGAGCTAAACGAAACAGTCGACCGTTTACTCGCAGGATGTCAAATACCCGAGTCGTCACAGAGAAGTTTTTTCAAATTTAAGTTTGATTTCTTATAAATGTATAATACTGTTATACAAAAAATATAGTATGCAACTCGCTTATAATGTTTGCTTTTATTACATCCGTACAAATTGTGAAACTCGCCCCTAAAGTCGTTTGTTTTCAAAACATGTTCTCATTCAATAAAGCTTAACATTATAAACTAATTGCATAAACTACTATTATGTTATGACAAACGGAAATGGCCAATTTTTATATGATGTTTTTGCAATTTTCTGCGATTTCGACCAACTCTTTTTTTTAATTTTTTTATTTTAAATATTTAAAGCATTTGTCTTGGATTTCATCAATTTGAATATTAACAAAATGCAACAAATGTTCTTCAAAGAAGTCCTGAACACCTTTTCAATTTCTTCACTCAGAAATTGTAATGTCAGCTGTTGTACGTAATCTAAGACTTCTGTGACGCCTTCAGCGCCATTGTCGATTCGGCAGATTTCACGATAACTAGACGTGGATTTCCTGGTCCAGTCCTATCCAAAAGTATGCAAGATGAGTTCACTTGAACGAAAGGAAGAAGCCTCTATTACTTAACATATCCAACATCTTGAGTTGTTCATTTGAGTTGGATTTCGTCAAATTTTTTACGTCATTTTTCTTTGCATTTACGGAATTTTAAATACATTTTAAGAGCATTTTATCGATCATTTTTTGTTATGTTTTAAATAATCAAAATCTGCCCCTAGTAATGTCTTATCCTGTTCCTCGACGATGCGATCGGTGCCGAAGGAAAAGGGATAACGGTCACCGAGAGCGTGGTGGATAGGCTGGTAATAAAGTGCAGCGCGAGATGATGAATAATATGAGGCTGATGATGATAAAATTCGTCGTGTGCAGAAAGAATAAATTCAGATGTCATTTAATTTTCTCGGAGTCGCGCGCAGCCTAAAACCAGAGGGTAGATTATTCTTGGCTCCTCTTTCCAATTGACTTTTGTATTCACATATTTTTATACCTAACTTAAATGATAATTTTAAAAAATGTTGCGTCTTCGCAACACGTGTCGTAACTCTTCTTGGGCATTGATCGTACATAGAGTACTCCTCCGTTGACTTTTTTCTCGCCACGTCGCAGTCAATGCCTTTGAACCCTTTGGGCAGGGGCCCGACGCCGTTATTAACCGAGATTCCCAGGCGGCCACCCGTCTAGGAATCCCTAGTGTCTCGAATTCCGACTTCTCGGGGCGTAGTTAAGTGATTCGGCTAACGACACCGGCATACAGTTAATTTCATATTGAATCGTTTATGAGGTTGTCAGATGGTTTCCGGAGCATCTTCCCGAAATGTATATCAATTCCTCAAATTATCTTCGTAATAAGGATAAAACCAGCAATTTATCATAATTACAAAAATGAAATGTTTTATTACGTTGGGCAACGAGGCCCCTTTCTAAATTTCCAGGTGGATCTTAGCCCACCTGCTCCTTCTCTTCTAGGAATTTTCTAGTTGTCCTAGGAAATTTGGATGGAATTTTTATTAATCAATTTCTACTTACCTCGTGAGCAGTATTGAAGGTAGTTTTTTTAAAAAAATTGTTGCGTCTGCATTGACGCAAAGCGTCTTCAAGACCCTTCAAGACCCGTTGAGCGCTTTGCGGTTGGGAGTAATTCTCCATTAATAATCGCGCTATTTATATGAGTAACATTGTCATTTAATGTCACGTCTCGTCGCAGTCAGTTGTCAAGAGGACCAGCAGCTGGCGTGCGAACCTCCTACTATGCGCTCCTGCATCACTACCCAACGGTCAGAATTGTGAAGGAATTAGGATAGAGGTAGGGTTTAGGACACTTCACAGGGGTTGGACTAGCCTCTGTGAAGCATGCAAACTCGTTTTGTAGTGACAAATTCCACATGAGGTGGAATTCCAGCTGAGGCAACTTGCCCCGAATTGTTTTTCCATTCAAAAGAAATTTTAAAAAAATATCTCTTATTTACGAGTAAATTTAAAGCCTTTTAGTTATTTCTGATGGAGAAATTAATTCTGTTTATGAGTTGGGGAGGAGAGAATTTTTTGTTGAGGTTGAGGGGCCCCGTGGATCAATTGCCCCATACACCTAGGTTTCTCTGGGCAACCCTGACACTGGGTATTGAGATAGTAATTACAGGAGCAAGAAAAATATTTTTTTATGATACCAAGAAGCTAGAAAACGAGTTCATGTTTTACTGATACATAATTGCTTGTTATTGCCTTAGACAGAGAGCTCGATATATTAAATTGAATTTATGCCTTATTTTACGTAGCGAGATTCGGGCCATGAGGCCTTCCATCTGACCACGCAATTTCACCAACTAGCCGAGAAAGGAGGTATTTCTTAGGCGACGAAACAGGCGATTTGATTTTAGCTCAGGGGCGTCATTTAGGCTTGAGGATCTTTTACATGCAAGTAAATCTACTAGAATGGGACAACCGGCTTTACTTCCCTTCCGAAGGAAGGCGTACGAAGGGTTTTTTCGCCCTTAAAATCCACGGCTTCGATCGATCGATTTACGTTGCGTAACTTACCTGGATCGAGATGGATCGTGGTTAAGGAGGAAATACTTCGCCGCAGCAGACATAACTTTCTGTATACTTTGTAAATTACTCCGTACACAAGAAAGCAACTATTGTTTTACGGCAAAACCTCGGTTCATCCGTATATTAGTCTATCCGTCTGCCTGATCTGCGCCTGTCCGTATATTCATTAGCCTTTTTTGTACTATTATCATTTTTAATTTTTTCAAGAAACAAATTTTCTGAAACAAAATCAGATTCTAATTGCAGAAAAATTTGATTTTTATTGAGAGGAATGATGTGCAATTCCATTGGCATTTGCGAATTCGTAATTTACTGTAGTCCCTGCATGATTTATAAATTTTTAGGTCCCTGGAACACGCTCCAAATTAATTATTAATTTAAAAGAAACGGTTAAATATAAAATAATTTAATACACTTTATAATAAATCACTCTTAATAATAAAAACAACAACAATAATAAATAATCGATTTATTAGATTCATAAAAATGATACCATCAGATGGGAAATTATTTTATGGGTTTTGGGGTTTATGAAATTTCATTGAACTAAAAGTTGAAGTTGCCAAGTGTTTGTCCTCCTTTTTTGTTTATTTGTATGTTTTCTTTTGTATGAAAGTTCATGGAACACTGTTCCATCATGTACTACCAGATATTCAGCTCTGATTATAATAATATTAACCCTATCATCATGAACCATTAAGATGGGTGGGGAGAGTGCTCGGTCCCCTGTGCAGTATGTCTCAATGTTATTCCACCAGGTGTGTTCCTGTTGTCTCCATCTCTTGTTTGGTCTTCCTTGCTCGGCTCTGCCTGTAAGTTGATAGCATCTTAGCTTTTGCAGTCTGTTATCTTCATACGTGTCCTTGGGTGTATGTGAGAAGCGGGTGAAAAGCTGTTACAAGGGGGATACAACAGCTAAATTTGTGAATGGATTTTGTAAACAGTTTCTTATGGTTATTTACCCTACATAAAATTAAAAATTAAAATGTAGTAAACATATTTCATTTATCTTATTTACTTAAAATAAATTTAATAAAATTAATTTTAATACTGTAACTTATTTTTAATCAAATATTATTTTATTATCAACATTAAATAACTTTCAAAAAGAGCTTTAAAGCAACAAAATTCTCTTAATTTTTCAAAGCTGTGATAAATTTACCATGATGTTTTCAATTGCTTAAAAGCCTTTTTCTTATATTTAATTATCATTCTTATCTAAATTGATGAATAGATACTTTCCTGTAATAGTGTTAACTCTTTCAATACTATGCATTGGCATGAGCTTCTTATGCTGTTCTTCATGGACATGGAAACGTCATTAAAAGGGTAGGTATGAAATATAGAGGAATATTGAAAAAGTGAAACCAAGTGGTAACATTGAATTGAATTGAATTTGCCTTATTTTACGTGGCGAAACATTCAGAAAGGAAGATAAGACACAGTATCAAGGTTCATTAAGAGCCATCCATAAATTAGGTAAAGCAAATTTGGAGTATTTTGAATACCTCCTCTCCCCCCTGTAATGCACCCATAACACACAATTAAACTTTCCCTAAATAATTAAGCTACACTTAAAATACCCCCCCCCCCTATAAATGCAAGTGAAAATAAATTATAGCTCAGTAAAAAAATTGTATTAATTTTATTTGTGTTATGTAATAAAATTTATGATAATTCGGAATTAGTTGTCGATACTGACTGCACCTAACAATAAGATCGGGGCAAATTTTGAGTGAAGGAAGGACACACTGGCAAGATATTTTTTTATCACAAGCTGTGCACACACCACCGTTGTTGATAGCGCATGAATGAGAGTCTACTGTGCCAATTTGATTGTATTCTACAAAATACTACAGATCAGTTTTGAATATTTTCTTCGTAATCTTAAAGATTCAATACAAAACTGATGAAAAGATATTTCCATTTATTGTAACAACTTCTAATATCTAAATTATTTATGTTTTAAAACAACTTAATTAGATAATATTTTAATGTTTTAGTATAAGACTAACAAAAGGAAGTATTTCAACAAATATTAAAAAATAAAAAGAAGACAATGTTAATTGAACATCCCCCCTTGCCCCTACATAACGTTGCCTCAAACCCCCTCCCCTCCTCTTTAGCATTACATAATTTATGGATGATCCCTTAAAAGCAAAAGGTTGAAAGTTTTAAAAACCAATAATCATTGTGTGTGTTAAAATAAGTTTCCTTTTATTACTTGCTGTGAATACATCTGCATTCAGCACTTATGGTACCATGTATTCATCAAATATCATTATTCATTCATCAAAATCAAGTAGTAATCAGCCTTGATTACTCACACTTTTTAAAAATGAAAAATCTTGACATGTTGCAAAATTTTATTGCTCATGACAGTTAAACTATTTGGTACCTTTCAAAATATTTGATTGAATTTCACACATATATATATAGAGATTTCAGATTTAGCTTTGAGTATTAATGAAAACATGTTTATTTTTATATTTATACTTTCATACAAGAATGTTTGATGATATGCAAGAATTAATCAAAGCATCAAGCTATGACAGTAATTTCTGAAACTGATCTAATGAAAAGTGTATAGTTGGATTCTCTCTGAATGGGACCCCATAGTGTATCCACTACATTTCTGTAATAATTTTTATAGGCATCTTTTGAAGTTAATTAATTCCCAAATTTAGTACTGTTTGTAATTTCAAAACAATTCTCAAAAAAATGTATCTATTGTTAATTTTTACAATCTATTCCCCATAGTAAACAACAAATCATTGTAATTAGGTACAGCTATTTTGCAAAATCAGTCTATGAACTTTTGTAGGGTCAGTATTTACTTATTTTTTCAGTTGTTTTATCTTGATTCTGAATAGTTGAATATACTCTTTTACAACTGTAGTTAACTGTATTCTTCCACAACACAGTTATTTGACTTACACTTCTAGTCTTCTGCATTTTATTCCACTACCTTAATGATACTCAACATACTACAAAGTGATACTATTTCCATAAGTTGTAAGAGGTACATGTCAGTTCCTACAGTTTTTGGAATGTACATAAATATTTTAGTACAAGTAGTAAATACATTTAGTCTGACTTACGTATGTGTCTTTTTTATTTTTTTTCCTTTCATGTGGTATGAAAAATGTCATCTCTGAACCCCCTTCAGTGGTAAAAATTCTCTTATAATAAAAGATTGGACCCTGCGAATTGACAATTAACCTCACTCATTCATCTTGGTAGTGCTCCTTGCAATAAAAAGACTTCAAATTATTTTGACAAGTTCCCATTCAAGGGATGGTCAGAGGGCCCCAAAAGAAAGTGCTGGGATGACTTTCATCATCCAATGTAAAGTAGTCTCTTCCCAGCCGCACAAATTCTTTCAAACTCAACAGCCCGTCTCCGTTTATATCAATTATTTTGTAGCTCATGATGGCATCCTAAACAGAGAAAAACAAAAGCATAAGAAGTTAGGAGTCAGTAGTGTGCCAATTTTATGATTAAGCTTGATACATTCATGTTGTACTATAGTAAGTAGCTTAATTCAATGATATGGTTTTCTAATCCAATCATTTCAAGAAATGAATATTATTTTTACCTCCTCAGTGCGTCCAAGACATTCAAAAAACAATTTAAACTCATCAACAGTAATGCGTCCATCCTTATCCTTGTCAAGAGCCTGAAAATAGAAAAAAAAATATAGTTATCATAACCAGCTAATTAAAAATATATTAATATATTTTACTGGAACTCTCTTATCTGTTTTAAAGTACTTTACAAGCTTCAAAAATAAGCAGCCAAAGACCCAATCTTGCACTCTACATCCATTTATTATCAAGATTTGTATATTTGATTATTCATACCATCGCATCTTTAATAAAGATGAGTTCCTCATTATCTCCAACAAATTTTAATGGCACAGATGGCGAAAGTTAAGTGCCTCATGCAAAGGCCCAGAAAGAGACAAAACGCTAAATGAAATAGGAAAATGCTACTTAACTGTTCCAAATATAAGGCAAAAAACAATTTACTTGGGAAGGAAGAGGCACAAGATTCACTCTAGACTATATAATAGTGATCATAAACTTATTTAAGTATATAACATCCACTAAAGTATTTAGAGGATGTGAAGTAAACATAGACCACTATTTGGTAAAGAGGAAAATAAAATTCACCATAAAACAAACAAAAGTTAAGGAAAATAAACAAAAAAACAACATCTAAACTTAAGGAATTTCTCCTAGAAGATGTAAGTAGATTGACAGAAAAACTACAGAAGGTAGAGAAACAAAAAAAAATTGAAGCAATTTGTGGTTCACTGAAACAAGCAATGATAAAGGAGTAAGGGGAAAGCACTGGACTGGTTTTATTCATATCTGACTGGAAGATTTCTTCAAGTACGGGTAAATGGCCACATTTCAACTGAATATAGAGCAACCTCAGGCGTCCCACCCCAAGGTCACATCTCGGACTGATTCCTGTTCAATATTTTCATCAACGATATTGCGATAAATTCTGATCAGATTATTTACTATTATGCAGATGATTTGAAAATATTTAGAAAAATACTGGATTACGATGATATGCGCATTCTTCCGCAAGATATGAGGAACTTAGCAGTTGGTGGTTTGAGGAACTAGGCTAAACTGAACGTTGATAAATTTTGATGTCTTTTCCTCGCTCTCCTCAAACTACAAACGCTGCAGCTTATTATCTTAGTGACACCAACTCGAGGATCAATCCGTTAACTTGCATCATTATCACAATAAATTGAAGTTCTCAAATATGTGACACAAGGGAAATCCAAAGCATACAACCCTGGGATTTTACTCAGATCTGGAACAAAATTTTAACCCATGTCTATTAACGTTAAATATAACTTATTTTTTACTTTGTCCGTCCAATAATGGATATATTGCTCAACCATCATTCTCCATAACACCAGACATTCTTGTGATCGAATCGAAAATATTCAAAAAACTCTGTAAAACGTCAATACTATATGGCATCAATCATACATGAGCACGACTGAAGTCATGTCAATTTGAAATAACACTCACTTTCCAAGCAGACAAATTGCAATCTTATTATTTTTATTAAGATCATTAAGTTGCGAAATTGAATGCCAAGAAATATTAGAACAATTTGAATTTGTCTATGCAAAACCTGGCTTGAGATCGTATAGATTACTGAATTCGATTAAGACTAACTGAAAACAAAGTTCACAGAGGTCAATTCTGAATTTTGTGATTCATTATGATTAATAAAGTTTCTTTCTATTAGTTTTCAGCACTTTTTTTAATAGTTGGAATACATTTTTTGAGGCTGGGTGTGGGGATAATTGAGTTTTTGGACTGAGCCCCTGGAAGGGCTAGATACACCACTGCTAAAAGCATTTCAAAAGAAATCTGGATAAAACACTCCTCCTCCCTTCTAAACAATTCAACTCTCTACCAGTGGTGACTCCAGAGATAATTTTGAGAGGGGTAGGGTCTCAAAATTCTTGAATGGGATGTGGAGATTATGGACAAATTTAATATTCAAGAAATCAATTATTTTTTAAATTTCAATCACACAATTTAAGACATTAAAAATGACATTTTAAGTACTGTAAAAAAAAAATTATTATTAATTTTACGACTTATGAAATAAATTTACAGAAATTTTAAGACGTAACACCTTATCGTGGATTGCACCCTGTCAGATTGCTGTCAATATCACCTAAGTTGTACGCAAACATGCTGAGTGAAAATTTCATGGCAGAAGAGCAATGCAAGTTTCAAAACAGAAGCACTAAATATGCCATCTTTATATTACAGGTGTTAACAAAAAAAAGAAGAGAAAGAAATCTACCAACTTGTATAATACTTATTGATTATGAAAAGTAATAAGACAAAGTAAACCTGGGAAATACCTGAAGATGGAAATATCCCAATTCAATTGCTCAAGGTAATTCAAGAGTTTGAAAATTAAAATCCTGTTATGAAAAGAAAGCAAGACTGCAGCAATGACAAGCAGCACAGGCCTACAACAAGGATTTGGGTTATCACCTATTCTCACCAACATAAAATATTAATCATCTAGAGAGAACCTGAGGAAAGAAAGCTAACCAAAGAATCCAAATTAGAAATGACAAACAGATAGACACAATTTTGTTTGCAGATGATCAAACAATTTTTACAGATTCTGAAGATAATTTACTTACAAAGCAATTTTTAAATTGATGTACAGGCCCAAGAATACTCCAAGAAGATAGCAGTCCAGAGAGCAAAAGTTATGGCAACAAATAAAAAATAAAAGAGCCAAAATTGTAAAAAACGGAAAATTTGTGGAATATGTAAATACATTCTCATCTCAGAAATATATACATGTGTTCAACCAATCTCAGGAGGATGTAGGAAAGAAACAAAATAATTCCAATAGAATTTATGGAATAAAAGCTTCAAATATGTTTTAAACAAAATTTTATATTAGTTTACCAATATGAACAAATATTTAAATATTAGATTTTTAAGTTGTGCAAAGTTATAGTTTATTTTAATATTCATTTATTACACATGTTCAATACTTTAGTGTTATAAAAGAGCTCAATAGTTGGGTAAAGCCTAGAGTCTCTTAAGATCTGGCTCTGCTTCTTTTTTTACTAACACAATATGCCACCATTGTCATGTTATCTATGTCTATTTGCATGCCATTATTGGGACCACAACTTAGGAAAATTTAATTGATAAGTTAATTTTCAGGGACTACTAAATTAAGATGTTTATTCACAAATTCATTGAAAATTCACAGATGTGTAACCTGCATTCAATAATGTTTTTCATTAATTTTAATTAAATGCATTTTTTACGCAGAATCTTACCTCAAAAAGATGAGGCAAGAAGAGATGTGCCTTGTGACTCAGCTCTCTGTCATTAATGATATGATGCATGTTCTCAAGGTACTGTTCAGTAGTGACTAGATTGTAGGGGTGCACCTTACCCCACTGATCTTCCCAGACAACCTAGAGAAGAAAAATACAAAGCAGGTGTTATGTCATTTTCAAATTCTTCTGGACCAGTTGTCAAAAACCACCACTTAAAGATAGTTCAATGGACACATTTCCTTCAGTTACTACTATCTACAACACACACAATGGATTTGCTTGTCAGTTTTGTTGGGAAGCCTTCAATGTTCGCAATACAGTGTAGCATTTTATGATTTGAAAATTATATTTTTCAGAATAAATTAATAATAATTAGAACAAAAATATTTGTGATTGAAGTATTTTCTGCATGTGTGTACTATGATCTTGAATTTAAGACCATTTGTAAGTCTATATGTCCAGCCTCTTGCGCTCATGAAATGTTTAGAAATATCGTGCTTCCTAATGATGTATGGATAATCTTAATGTATCCTAATGATTGGATTAGCATAGATATTTATTCATAAGTGTGCACAGAGGGGAGCCAGACAGTTCATGACCACCATGAAAATATTGAAAGGGGCCCCTTGGTCAGATATAATAAAATACTTTATTTCCTTAAATAAGTTCAATTCTTGATTTTCCCCTTTTTTATCATGATAATTTAGGAAATTACTGAACATCATTTGAAAAAGATGCTTTCCTGGCCATCTGGAAACTCTAAATCTGGTTCCCAACGTGTGCTAGGCACCCAGTATTCTCTCCCAAGATGGATAAAAGGCTGTGGCATACTGGTTATTCAGGCACCCATGGCAAGCACCTGTGTCAGGATACTTTCAAATTAGGGTTGCTACTATTGGTTTTAGGGGGTATAGTCTCGATAACGCCCCTAGTAAGAGGCACTCATTGCACGTACCAGGTTTGCCATGCTGTAGATACACCTCTGATGAAAGGAACTTTAACTTTTGGCTAATAACCCTTTGTGGGCCACAATAAATGGCATTACAGGCTGCCAGTTGGACAAACCTGGTCTAAATGGTTTAATTCACAATCAATTATATTTAATAATTGTATTCTTAAGTATATAAGATCGTACTTATTGCAGCGTACTTATTCATTTACTAGTAAAATATGTTATGTCTTTTTTTAAAAAATTGTGGGTAAAACAAGGGGGGGAGGGGAGGTGGGAAAATACTAGATGGCCCTCCCACTTCTTTTTGCACATGCTTAGGTACTCAGAATTGTATTTTGAGTAGGTATTTAAATTTTTATTTACAATGTATTTTGGCAAAGTATTTAAATTTTAAATTTAAAGTATTTTGTCCAACTCTTTATGTACCTAATTTTTCAAATTATTCAAAGAAAAATTTGCTCTCTTCCAATTTTTACTTTAACAAGTGTTAAAAACATGTAATTATAATTTCCAAAAGTTACATCTGGATAATTAAAATCAGGAATTTATGAGATTTTAAAGTAAACGACAAATTGTAAGTTCTATTGAAGTCTTAAACCATAACTGAACAGAGATTTGTTAGTTAAGGCAAATTACATTCTGATTACTGAGATTATTATGAATGTGAATTGTTTCCAACCATAGTCTAAGCAAGTATCTATTTTATATTTTGAAAATGAGGCGATTAATGTTTTTGCCAAATGTGATTGTTGAGTGAGAGTGATCAATGAGGTATATAGTGTGATGGTGTTATTTTTCCATAACTGTTCATGCTTAACCACAGCATCACCAACGATGGGCAACTGTTAACCACAATATCTTCTTTTTGTAGATCTGTATGTAAAATAAATAATTATGTTTTAACATTTTAGTTCTTTGTTACTAATATGGTAAAGTACTATTACTCTATATTCCTCAACATTTTTGTGTGTAAGTGTATAGATTTGAATTTAATTCAATGCAGATTTTACCCACCCTTGATATTCCCTATCACTCAGAACAATAAATCATCTGTGGTTAGACATTTCTTCTTTTCATTGCCATAATGGTTCTGTAGTCACCATCAGCTTCATCATGAACATTAGTAAGGTATAGGTCCAATGTCCTCTTCCTTTTTTCCAGTATTCTCGTACACTAGTTTCGGTGTTCAGGTTCTTCCCACCATTTCCTTGGTCTGCCGGGATCTCTATTTCCTCTTGGTCTATAGATCATTATCATATGTGTACGTAAGCTTCCGCGGCTCGAATCAATGAATTCTCGGCTATCCGCCAACGACGCAGCGTCTCCCAGATAGCCGAGAATTCAGATCATTATCATCTTTAGAAGTCTACTTGGTTGCATTCTTTTTATAAGTTCTTGCCATTTTGCCTGATATTTCTCTATTTTACTATTTTGCCATGGTTCTGTGGTGTATGTATATATACTTTGTTGAACCTCTCTACAGTTAGTCAAACAAATATTACTCATTTGGAGTGTGTTTTGTGGAGTACTTATGTACGTACAAACATGAGTGGTAGAAGTTATATTAATAACTAATGTGGTGAGTGACAATGAAATTAGTTAAAGTAATGATCAGTTCAGTGAAAGTAAAGTAATTAGGGACAGTAATATTCTGTATTGTTTTGTCCTGGTGAATGGTGTTCACAAAACAATGCTCAGTCAATGGAGTAACAAGTGATGTTAAATTTTTAAGAAATAAAACACTATATCATGTAAACTGAATTAAAATGTAAAAATCCATAAGAGCATATGATAGTAAATTATTTCATTGAAATGTAATTTGTTAAATTGGTAGTGATATTTTAATTCATTTTGAGGTGTTACTCAGGGCAGAAAATATCTTGGTACTGTTAGGATTAATACAATTCTTTTCATTCAGTTATAATTTGTCATCAGTCTTATTTTGAAATCCTCCTTCCATGTTGAGATTTTGTATGTGAAGGATGTAACGGTTGACACCTATTCTACTACATCAAGGGTTCCCAACAGGGTTGATATAGACCCTCTGGGGGTCAAAAATAATTTTGAAGGTTGTCAATTATGTTGCGAGGGGGGTCAAAAATAATTTTGAAGGGGTCGATTGCAGGTGAATAGCCGAATTATGAACTGGTATTATTGGTATAATCAAGGACTCATTTACTACAAAAAAAAATTAATTAACTGTTGTTTTCTATAAAGCAACGAACACAATAATAAATTATTAATTCACTCCTTTCTTTCGAATCTGTCTTTCATTCTTAGGAATTTAGAAATTAGAATGTTTAGAAAACTCAACAAATTATAATTATACATAAACAACAATACTCTATTGTGCAAAAAAAGTACTCTCAGCAATTCACTCTGCAGAAATGTTATGGCCAGTTCTTAAAAAACACTTAACATGTAACCATTACATTTCAGTGAAGATTAGAAACTCAGCAACTCAAATATGGAAATGTCTTCAACAATTGAAAATCCAGATATTTATGAGAATATTGGTAATGAATTGTTATTATTAAGGCATTAATGTGCAATTCTTTAGGTCATTATTATGGATGTTATATAGTATGTAATGTAATGGGGCCATTGAAGCCAGCATTCTCCAGTGGTTGATGAAAGAAAAAGGTTGGGAATCCCTGTACTACATTGTTTTCACTGAATATTTTTGCCCTTATGAATTCCTTACTGTTTAGGCGCATTGTTTTTGATTATCAGTGTGGATATCCATAGTCCATACTTCCCAATTTTGTTCAGCTTGTGGGTGGACAGTTGAAGTTCATAGATGTCATCAAAATTATGCTTTCATCTGTATAAATTATAGTGCTTATTATTGGGTATTTCTCTGACTGTACCTCCTTTCACTTCTTCTTCCACATCTTCATGTTGTAGTTTGTAATATATTTGTATATTTGAGTGTGTGTGTGTGTGTATGTGTGCATGAGTGGGTGCATGCATGTGTGTGTTTTTTCATCATTATTCCACTTTGCCACTCTTTTGTCACTGATTTATGGAAAAGCACAAAAGCATGTAAATCTAATAAATAGTGATTGCATTAATATCACGGCTTTCATGTTTAATAATTAGAATGAAGAGTTTTCTCCCAAAAAAAGTTATACACACTTTAAGAGCTGATCTGAAGTCCTCTTCTTGAGCTGGTGTTAAGTGGCCCAAGTTAATGAAACGATCTGCCAAGATGGTAAAGTCATCAAATGAAACAACACCATCATTATTCAGGTCAATTAAGCTATGAAACGCCATCATTTTTCGCCTCCAGAACTCAGTTGATCCCTGTAAAACAAAGCACATCATGATTCAGAAACTTGTTACGGAAGTGTAAATTTAGAACTCTAAGTACCAACACACTACAGTACAGCTTTAGTACTGTTTTCAAATTATTATTTAATTAATGAGAAACTAAATAAAAATAAAATAATCATAATAATGATGATGATGATAATAATAATAATAGTAATAATAACAACAATAATAATAATAATAATAATAATAATAATAATCACAACAACTTTTTAACAACAATTAAAAGACATTTTTCCCCTTTGAATTGGAACATATCTTTTCTAGTGTGCAAATGTTGCTCACTTGCAGCGATTTAATATAAAAGAAAATTCTTAAATGTATGGAAAATGATATTGCTAGAATCAAAAAACAAAGAAGAAAGTCCAGATAAGTTAAAAGGATGTGTTGCTAGCATACAGGATTGGCAAGGAAGTGTTAATACCTTAACAAAACATGAAACAAAACAAGAAAAATCAAATAAAACAAATTCAAAAAGGAACAACAAAGATGAGGAATAACATATCACAATGTATGAACTCTGAGACAAAATAAAATATGTTTTGAAGTAGACACGCCACAGGACTTAACATTTTCAGAAATAATCATTGTTTTTCTTTATTATCTAATGAACTTAATATTTTTTTATTTGACATTTCCTTGGTAAACACTCAGGAAGTTTAAAATAGATAAGAATTTGGTTCTCTTCAAAATCAAATGAATTTTGGATGTTTTTATAAGTACAAGATTGAAATGCTGAAAAAATTTGCAATTTCTGGAATTTTTAATTATTGTTTCCAATCTTTATATTCATGGTCTACTTGCAAAACCTCATGTCTGAAAATTGACGAAAATGGTGTTTTGGTACCATTAGATTCATCTGGCTAGCATACACTGACAGGCCCTCAGAAAGCAAAATTGTACTGTAGTACTCTTTATAGTCAATTGAAAGTACTAAATGATTCATTGAGTTATGGAGTCACAAATCAGTTTTTTCGCTGTCCTGAAAAATTACTGAAAAGTGACATACGAGGTTTTGCATGTAGACCATTGAATTCTTGGTGATATGTGAAGGTACTGAGGGTCAGGTTGATTCCCATGGTTAAAAGGGTAAAGCATTATTATGTGAATATTAACCAGCTAACTTGCCAATTCGCCAGATTGTAACATCAGCAGTGACAAATATAACTCCAAACAAATGTATAATTTTGTTTGAACAAGGGGGGAGGGGGGCCTATGCTGCAAGGCAGGGTCCAAGCTGCAAAGCACAACCTTTATCTGCGTTAGACCAGCTGCTCGAAAGCAAAACCTTCTGAGTTTAGCTCATCTCAGCACCGACTTTGGCCGGGATGTCATAGGATCGAGTCCCGACGGTGGCAGAATTTTCGACACTAGCTTGGCTGCTAAATCGAGTTCAGCCGCAGTCTGGAGGGGAATTCTAGCATCCGGCTGCTCCGATAGGAAATTTTCCACAGTTCCTGCGATCAATACCCTAAAAAACGTAGTAACAGTACCCTTTCAAGCGGTCCATGGGCAGCGCGCGATTATTCCTTCCTCTTCCTTTTCCTCCTTTCTCTCTTTCTTGCGCACACTTACATGCACCACATTTACATGCATCGGAAGCTTAGGGTTCCCCCGCAAGTCGACGGGTAGGTCGGCAATCATAACAAGTGATATATAATGAATTAGTGTTATATTTGTATTGTATTTTTTTAAAGGTTTGTAACAAATAATGTACTTCAGCTTCCGGGTCAATAACCTCCATCTCGATCAGGTTTTGTGCATTTTCCCTGATCCATTGAGCAAATGCTGAGATGGCCCCTTGTTTTACAGGGACATAAATGTAGCTTCACAATGCGCACGTTTTGTTGAATTCTCCTTTTCTTTGTAATGGTAGGAGTAGAGGTAAGGGCGAGTTACTATTTCGGTAACAATGCAGAAAAGTCATACTTGCAATTCGTTTACCGATGCAAATAAGTTTTCTATAACTCGGGAACGAAAATATCTATTTTTTTCAAATATTGCTGATCTTGCGCTGTCAAAATTTGTTTAATTTATTTATTTTAAACTTTTACTCATCTTTGAACCATTTATATTTAAAATGATGGGAAGGGATTCTGGAACTTAAAACATGCGCAGATGATATTTTCCCCCATACGTCACATAAAGTTTTTACTGTTTTTTTTACTAAATAAATCTAATCTAATCTAGTCTCAGAGTTCAATGACAACGAACTTTTATGCATAGAAAATTGAATTTATATTTCAAGAACAGTTTCTCACCGTTAACTCAAAACCGGCACAACATGACATTGAACTTTGTTTGCACCGATTAATTTGTAAATGGTTTCATCACTGACTCTTGCAATGTCATTGCCCTACATGACGTTCAATTGTTTCTCCTCCAGACAAAGTGGTCCCTTCTTAGAGTAACTCCTATTTTATAAGCGCTGGGCCAGCTTATGCCAAGTGGGCCGCCTATTTCATTGGTTATTTTTTCTCTGGGCGCGTGAACTGCTATGGTCATTCGATCCAAAAGTGTAGTGCATGTTTTACCCGAGAGAAGGCAGTGTTACTCCTCCGCTTCAACAAGAGATGTGGTGCCGTCGGTTTGCGGGGTTCCAGCCTCAGTATCTCTGCCAGCGCGTACCGTCCCAGCCGGGATAAACTCAAATCTCCCGTCATAAGTGATGGTGAAGGGTATGAAAGTGGTCTCCCGATTGATCTCCCAACATGTATGGTATTGTAGTGCATGGAAGTGTAAGTGAAGGGTGAAGATAGGACAAGGAAGAGGAAGGAAATATCGCGCGTTTTCCGTGACCTGTTTGTTAAGGTACTGCTCGGGCATTCGCCTGTTGGTGATCGGCGAAACCGCGGAAAACTATCGTTCAGAGACGCCAGCCACTGAAATTCTCCTTTACACAGTGGCTGAACTCGACACAGCTGCGTATTTAACAGCTAATGCCGAAAATTCGCCACCATCGCCATTTGAACTTGCATTGTATTTTATCCAGTTGCGATGGCGAAAATAAAATCAAATACGTGCACCTGATCACATCTGCTACTCCTGACTTTAATGTAAAAGTGGCTTTAATGTAAAAGTGACTTTAATTTACTTACAGGATTGCGCAGTTTGGTCTATTGGCTTCCTGATGCAAACTTTCCTACCCGCCAAATAGAATGTCATTTTTACCACTCATATCCTAAATAACTATTTTAGACAGTAAGGTGGGTCTTTCAGGACTTTCACTAGAAAGGCGTCTTTTTCAAGGCATGTTGAGCGTACTAAATGTTCAATTTTTTGCGTTAGTGGTAAAAGTGAGACAATGCTCACGTGTTCGGGTAAAACGATGAATGCAACAAAGAAAACAAAATAATTTCGTCTGAGCGCGTCAGCTGATACTGATCTTAATGTATCTTTAAGTGATTTGTAAACGTGAATAAAAATAAAAATGAATGTCAGTAAGACTGTTTATAAAAAGTGTGTGACACAAGCGTTGAAAATGATTTTATTTTGTTCGTAAGATTGTACCTCTTGGCCTATCGGTCTCAAAGTGACATCGCGAGTAGCGATGCGACATTGATGTCGATGCTTTCAAAACACAGGTGCTTTTATAGAAACATCGATATATAAAAGGATGTTTTTTAACATCACTGTTTTGTGAAAGAAAAACTCCCGTAATCAAAATTTGCAATAGTTTAAAATATGAAATAATATCTGAAGATACTACTGCAGATTGTGTGAGATCCAAAAGAGCGGTATTTGTATCTTCATCGAGAAGACTATCTCTCGCCAGAGATGACTCGTAACGGCCTGGAAGATCCTACGTAGTGCCTTTTCTTCAAATTAACCGAAATTTTAATTATAAATTAATAAACCAGGCCACTTTCAAATTAAATTTTGTTGCAGCCAAATTTAATGTTAGAGGTGACTCAACCAGCTTTTATAGCTGGTTTCTACATGTTTTTATAAATGGAAACGATGTTTTGTTACCGATGTCGCAACTTTTCCTAATACTTTAATCACTCGTATCTCAAATAAATATTGTTTATTTGTGTTTTTACTGAAACGTTAATGCTTGTTATTTCACTGATACGGATTTTGATACACACTGCATAACTTACCTGGATCGAGATGATCGGGATTACGAGGGAAATATAAAAACAGTTGAATGATATCTTATCAAGGGGATTATGGGCGGGAAATACGAAAAGTCAAACGGAGTCTAGTTGACAACTAGTTGATTAGTAAACAAGTAAATATGAATCATTAAAAGGACGTACAAAATAAAATCATGTATGTACCAACTGGTTCTGATGATCTCAGGCGACAAAAAACGGGCTTTTTGTCGCCGCGCTCGATCATTATCAAACGCCTTGGGGATATATTAACTATTTAATTTGAATATATATATATAATATATAGATATACTATATATACATACTATATATAGTATATATAATATTAAAAGATCCGCGTGGCGTGGAGCAAGCCGCCAGGACTACTCACCCTCTCGCGGCGCGCTTCGTCGTCTTGGTAATCGGAGCCGGAGCCGGAGTCGGGAGTCGGAGTGGCGCTGAGCTCGCGCTCGCGCCCCCGAGGGCCCCGCTCGCGCAGGCCCGTTCGGTGCGGTGGCGCGGAGCGGGCGCGCGCCGGTGCGAGTGCGCCGCCACGAGGGGCGCTTGGTGGTGGCGGCGGCGGGCGGGCGCGGGCGGTGGGCCGCTTGCGGCCCAGTACACCGACCTCCCGGCCCCGCTGGCGACGCAGGCCGACGCGCCGCCCGCGCACGGCCCACGACGAGACGCCCTGCCACACACAAACCAACAGGTTAGGTGTCGTGATGAATCTCGTCGAAAGAGCTGGGCCGCAATACGGTCTAACCCAGAAAAAACAAAAACATATGAGTTACTGACACCATTTGTTACCTAAGAAAGCGAACTTAGTGCATTGTTGCTTTGACCAGTTTTCCTCTATAAAGTTAAGAATGAAGTCAC